GAAAGATATTTATCTCAATGAAGCTCGCTATGATGAGGAAGAGGGACAATTTAGAAAACTAAAAGGGCTCAAGGTAYYATCATCATTCATGCATTGTTGCTGTTTTTGACAAKRTTGTTSTTTGTTGCTACTTATTGTCCTTGTCAATACTGTTGTAACTGCTATTTGTCACTACTCTTGTTGTAGTTGTTGATGGACAAGTTGTTGCTGTTGTTTGTTGTCTTTGTTATATGTTGTTGCTGGTGTTGTTTACTTTTTAAGTCTTACTCTATTCATTTTTAATATCAGAGATACTCATTGTCCATGAACTGCTATGAAGAAGAGTTTTACTACTTTGAAGAACCTGTTAACCCATTAAAGGTAATTACATTATATTGTTTAATAAATAACTGAGAAGTGACCTTAATGTTCTKTTTTGATAAGGAAAGGAGTTGTGAATCTGTTTTGTTGTTATYRATCTTCATTAGGTTCCATCGCCATTGTTRTTTGAAGACCAAGACATGATGGCTGCTGGAGACAGAAGTATTTCACCATCAACATCWGTAGAGTCTGCAGAATCTGGAAAGGTATTGCATCAAGTATTGGCATCATTATATTCACAATTTACCTCCAAAAATGTATTTGAATACAAAGATTTAATATGTCATTTTCAGAAACAGAAAAAACCTCGTAGTCAATCGGCATATCTGCTGTTTGCWTATGAAAGGMGACTTGCTCTTCGAAGAGAACACCCRGAGTATGTCTTTGGAGAAATCAGTCGTGTTATTGGTGAAGAGGTTAGATAGCAGTAATTACTTCCTTTMATTGTCCCAAAATATAGYTTYTYTTTTATTGGTKCATGAAAYTTTGTATAYAAAGTGTTGYTAACRTTTTTGCGTTGTGGTTTTATTGATAGTGGMGAAATGCTAGTGCTGCACTGAAGTCTGAGTTTGAAGCTAAAGCACAGCTGCAACTGAGTCAATCTGATAATGAGGCAAGAAATGTTTTAATATTATTATCATAAATTGGATATTTTTAATAATTATTGTATTTTTTAATCTTATTATATTTTTATCTAACTCTTATAGAATACTCATCGTAACCAATCATCCACAAGTATGTTTGTGTATGACTGTTATTGGCGTGGTTGTGATTTCCAATATGAAGACCTCCAAGACTTGCGAGTTCATGTTCTTGACAGTTCTAATCACTTAAAGAAAGCAGGTAACCACATATCTAACGAATCAAGCACCTACAATTTGAAATCTTAGTGAAATCACTTGGAGACAGAAGTGCTTACAGTTAGAAATCTTAGTGAAAACACTTGGAGACAGAAGTGCTTACAGTTAGAAATCTTAGTGAAAACACTTGGAGACAGAAGTGCTTACAGTTAGAAATCTTAGTGAAAACACTTGGAGACAGAAGTGCTTACAGTTAGAAATCTTAGTGAAAACACTTGGAGACAGAAGTGCTTACAGTTAGAAATCTTAGTGAAAACACTTGGAGACAGGAGTGCTTACAGTTAGAAATCTTAGTGAAAACACTTACAGAACTGCTTACAGTTAGAACTCCTGTAAACAGAGACAATACCAGACTCTGTAACCAAAGCTGTCAGCTTACATGATGCATCTACAAGCAGAGATTAGACTGTATTGTTTGACATGATTTGGAATCTGTGTTGCTCCAACTCCTGCCATATTGATGTGTTTTGCATAATGTTTTTTTATACAGATGA